GAGGAGGGGGTCGTGGGGGTAGACGAGGATGGGGGTGCGCGCGAGAGAGGGAGGTGAGGGCTCTTGCTTATGTAGTTCACGTGGGGGACGCCCTGGAAGTGAGCGGGTATGGTTCTGCTCACAAAGGGACTGCTGCTGTGCCTGGCCTCGCACGCCCCCAGGCGCTCCCACCACCCTGGCGGCCCCCCTGGCCCCTAGCCCAGCAAGCCCGGCCCTGACCACAGCCTGCAGCAGGGCGAGCAGAGCGCCCGCCGCGCCAACTAGCTCCGCCACGCTCGGCACTCCAATCAAGAGCAGGACTCGGGGTGGTTGTCGTCCATCAGCGCCGTACACAGCAGCAGCAGCCTCCGTCTGCCCGGCCCGGACAGCCCCAGACCTGCTGCACTGTCGCCGCAGCAGAGAGGTGACCGCAACTCGGCAAACTTTAAGCTGACATTGTTGCGCGAGAGTCCCATGGTTTTCGTCGACAACCTCAGATCGAGCAGCTCTCTCGATGGGGCAGTGACCCAGTCCTTGTAGATATCATGGTGGTTGACTATCCCAATCATGCTGAGAGTCTGATATACCCCTTCCTTTATTTTGCCTATACTGTACGGCGGGCTTGCCTACCGTCGCTCCGCACGGTGCCCCGTGGCCCCGTGTGAGTATGCAACCCGGCCGCACACATGTATGCGGTACAGTATAAGCAAAATAAAGGGGTCTATGGACCACCCTGTATGTATTTTCTTTTCCTCTTGTTGCACAAAATTGTCGTCATGCAACAGTTGAAATAAAGATACAAACCGTGCGGACTGCACAGCACATGAAAAAATTGATTCTACCTCGCTACTGTATTCTTTTTCCACAAGAACAAAAACTTTCTCGAACAACTAACTATATTGTGATGATAACGAGCAACTATACTGACGAGAGTTCAACCAGGAATCGATACAACTATAACAGAATGTTAGATTAAGTTCTTTCGATACCAGCGACAAACATCCGACTTTCGAGTACTGGCACAGCAGGCCCCTCGTTATCGCCAGCACAATACAGGGTGGTCTGCCGGTCTGTCAACCCCCTTCTTTCTTCTGGTCTTACTGTACCGGATGCAGGCGTGCGGGGGTGGGTTGCATACTCGCCGCAAGGCACCTCGGTGAGAGACGATAGGCAAGCACCAGTAAAACCAAAAGAAAGAACGGTGCTGACGGACCACCCTTGCAGTTAGTTGTCCGGTGGAAACAATCTTTCGGCTGCAAATATATCTCTGCCATCCTCTCTCTTGCTGCTTCCGAAGGCGCCATCTTCAGGGACCATAGGACCGCCGAACGCTCTGCGTCGCCACACCTCAGCAGGGAGCGCCTCCGCCCGCCCGCCGGCCGGAATGAGCAGACCAATCAGACGAACCATTATCCTTCCTTGATTCGTCACGCCCCTTCAGCCCCTCCAGCCCCCCGCACTACTCCTGCTGAATGCCGGATTGTGTTGGCAGGCCTGTCTTTGTCGCTCCATCCGTATTGGCTGAGAGCGCGGCCGGCTCGCTTGATGAAAACCCTCCGCCTCCCACCACCACCACCACCCACTCGCCCCTCTTCCCCGCTTTCACCCTTTCCTGACTCCACCCGCCGCCGCCACCACCACCACCCTCACCAGAATCAGGAGAAACAACCACTACAACGTCATCGCCAGCAGCAGCAACACGACATGGCGGGCGCGCGGACGGGGCCGCTTGACTTTGAGCCGGTGGAGGAAACAAGAGCGGGGAGAAAAGGGAGGGGGCGGGCAGGGAGGTTCAGCAGGGGGAAACGCAACCCGCAGTATGAATGGTGGCCCGTACCTGCTGAGTCGGCGAGAACATGGCCAATAACAAGGTACTGCAAATGGTGGGGGAGAACAGCCCCTAGGAAGAGGACAAAAGGAGGAATGAAATAACATATCACGCGGGCCTTGCTGAACAGCGAGGGTAGCCGCGAAAAGGATCAGAAAAACAGAGCAGGGGGATCTGGGCAGCGGGAGCGGGTGGGTGGGGAGGGGAGGGAGGGAAGAGAGGATGAGGGGGGCGGAGGGGATAGAGGAGGCGGAAGAAGAGGGATGGGGGTGAGGGCGACAAGATTGGAGCGGAATGATTGAGCCGAGTCCAAGGCCTCGCCGAGAGGGAGGCGCGTTAATGAATAACGGGCCAACTCTCGTATTCTTTTCCCTTCTCTCTCTCTCTCTCTCTCTCTCTCTCTCTCTCTCTCTATCTATCTCTCTCTCCCCCTCTCCTAATCTCTCTCACTCCTTATCTCTCTCCACCCCTGTCTCTCTCTCTCCGTCTGTGTCCTTTCCTTCTTCCCCGGAGACCGACGCCGGCGCCGTCGACACCAAAGCTCGGCATGTGGATCTCCATTCCTCTGCCTTTTCTTTTCCTTCTTTATTTCCGAGCGGAATTCCGTTTCGCGAAATCGTAATCCTTTGCTCGCCTCGCCCGCGCCTTATTGGTCCACATCGACACGGCGCCACGGGGCCCTCGGGATCCCTCGGGATCCCGCGGGGACTAGCTAGGACCCTGAGTATCCATCAGTAGCCAGGTTGGGCCCCGGGTTTCATCAGGGATCAAGCTAAGAAGACCCTGAGGATCAATCAGTAGCCAGGTGGGGCCCTTCGGATCCACCAGGGACTATCTAGGACCCTGGTAGCCAGGTCAGTAGCCAGGTCGGGCCCTCAGGATTCATCAGGGACTAGCTACGACCCGAGGGATCCATCAGTAGCCAGGTGGAGCCCTTAGGATCCATCGGGGACTAGTTAGGACCCTGGGTATCCACCAGTTGCAAGTATAAGTTATATTCTTAACTCGTAAAATAACGTCAAAGGCGCTCAAGTAAAAAGTTAGTCGAGCCCAGAGCCCCAGCTCGAGCGCCTGTTGGCCGGGTGGGTAGGCAGTCCCGCTGGGCGGCCGAGTGTCGAATGCCTACCTCCCAGGCGCTCGCGGAGCCTGCGGAGCGCCGGGTCGGGTGGAGTGCGGAACGATGCAGCACAAACACAACTCAACTTATTTGTGCACGGAAACATACAACACGCCACTCTGAAAATTTTGCATAATTGTGTGTGTATGTGTGTGGTGTGTGCGTGTGTTTGGTTGAACTGCGGTGTGAGGGTCAGCTAGCGCGCATGCATATGGGATGGGATGGGAAGGGGATTAGGATTCAGATTCAGCACCATCGTCGCCCTGCCGGCCCACAGGGGATTAACATGTTCAGTGTACGGGGGTGCCGAGCCAGCAGACTGAGACCACGGTGTGGTCACGCCCAAAGTGATTTGTTTCAGCTGGAAGCTACATACGGTCCTTAACCTGCTGCTGGTGTCAGCTCCTCCGTCCTGCAGGCCGAGTACTCACCAACGACAACGGTCGGCTTTTCCACCCCATTTCGCCCCATCTGTTTGGCCATATTGCGCACAATATCACGGCACGGAGCGGCGCGGGCGCGCTCTGGCGGGGGGCGGCGGAGGCGCGCTCCTGCGGGCCCCCCGCGGCCTGCCCGGGGACGAGCTTGGCGGCGCGGGCGAGCAGGGGGCGCCACCGGCCGAGGCAGCAGCGCGCAGCGGCGCCCGTGCAAGTTCAGGGTCATCCAAGGTCAATACTCCCGCAGCCGTCTGCCGAGGGTCGAGAGGGTGCGCCGGGCCGGGCGGGCCGGGCAGGGGCGCTGCGCCGAGCAGGGTCCTCGCCCTCAGCATCCTCTCGTGCCCCCGCGGCCGCGCCCAGCCCGGGTCCCGGGGCTCAGCCTGGGTTTACCTTCACTCACGCCGCCGCGAGCAGCAGGGGGAGGCTCTTCACCTTGGAAGGGTCAGCGCGGATTTTAAAAACAGTAGCGGCAGTCGTAGCGTTGGCAGGAACTACGGACCCGCGGCGCGGATAGGCTTATTGCTCGAGGAAACAAAAGGACGCTGCTGCTGTGCTCGCCGGAGAGGAAACGAGAGTCTGGAAGTACTATAAGCAGCAGAGAGATGGCGAGCTCCGGCAAAGGGCTGCGCTGGCGGACCGCGCCGAGCAGAGCGAAGCGCGGGAAAAACATAACTTGGGCACAGACGGAGACGGAGGGCGGAGGGCCCGAGAATATTGTATGCGGTTCACTGGCCTTATCGAGTATTCGGAGGAACGGAGCGCAAAGTTACTCGAGACAGAGCTATTATTGACTTTATGCAAGGTCTCCTAGGTCAGGGTACGCCAGTGCCAGAATGGTAGCGAGCAAGGGATGCGAGCGCTTATTCACCTGTGCAGTAGATTTCAAAACTGTAGAACAGCTAACCTTGGGGCAAAGGTCATCCCGCGCAACGCAGTTGTCTTGCCACGGAGTAGGGACGTGCCCACTCCTCCTGGGCCGACTTCAACGTGCCCTGCAATTAATGTGATAGGTCTATAGACATCTGGTCCGTGGCCCTCGAGTGGACTCACGTGCACACAACCTCGTTGGATGTTATCGAACATATTATGTCATTTTTTACAAGCAATGCGCGCCAGGTGTGCATCGTATTTATATCGAGGGGCTTTTCACTTGCGTAATACACCTAAACTATATAGGTATTACGCGTAGTGTATATAAAACTAGCTATATGTACGCCAGACCAGGTCTCGCGTTACAGGCTTCGCGATAGCTCACGAAACTCTGTTACGCTGCGACGCGCCTGGCGCCCATATAGCTAGGCCTGCGGCGCTGACACCCGAGACGAGTTAAATTTTACGATTTAATAGACCATTTTTGGTCGTTTTCACCTTAATTTCGTCAAGAAATGCCCCCTAGCACCTAAACGGTAAAAGACCCTGATGGATTTGAGGAATGGTTAGGGATGGGACCAACTTGGATGGGACGTCCTTAGGGCGTCCCAGGGAGACGATATCCTGATTAGTTTCAACATGGAACTCCTACGGATATCCCGGGGATATCATTGGAATAGGATTAAGGATCCAAAGGACCGAAATGGGACACATGGAAATTCCTTCAGAATTTAGGGGAAATTTTAATGCATTTTAATGATCCCAAAATGTCCTTACCTTCGGTAGCGCCCACCCTCGCGAATTTGCGTCGTACTTTCACTTTAATCTCAGAATACCTTTATCTCTTACCTGGACTCGAACCTCTGACATCCGATTGGGATGCCGCAGACTTATCCACTGGACCACGAGGACGATGATACAAGGATAGGCCCGGCCGGATCATAGCCTCTATCTACGCCTGTGTCATCCCTAACCCATCCACAATCCATCCCCTATCCATCCTTGGATCTTAAGTTGTTGTCTTTTGTCCCGGTATCATCCCCATGCTATCCCTAATCCATTTTTGGATCTTAAGTCTGCTTTTTCCATCTCTGTGTCATCCCTAAACAATCCTTAATCCATCCCCGGATTTCAGTCTCTACAGGGTGGTCCACAGGCCCCTTCCTTTATTTTGCTTATACTGTACCGGATGCAGGCGTGCGAACGGGTTGCATACTCGCACGGGGCCATAAGGCGCCGTAGTGAGCGACGATAGGCAAGCCCACCCGCACGCCTGCATGCGGTACAGTATAAGCAAAATAAAGGAAGGGGTCTGTGGACCACCCTGTATATTCGCCACTTTATCATCCCCAATCACCTTAATCTATCCCGAACATATGTCTATTTATGTCATATTCGAGAAATTAATCTGATTCACATCCCCATGCAATCCTTTTTTCTCCTCATTACATGCAACTATTGACGTATGTGTGCCTAGATATTCCTTAAATCTCTCTGTCCTCATGGATTCCCTCTATCTTCATGTGTCCCCAGGGATTCCTCATGTGTCCTCAGGGGTGCTAGGGGGACAGAATTAGGAAAGGATAGACCGAAAGTCTAGGGGGGCCCCGTCGGTGGATCCCTAGGGATGGTACAGGGATGACGAATCCCTAAGGATTTGAGAGGGACATCGATGGCCTCTTTAGGGACCCCTTGGGGAATGCACAGGGATGGTTCAAGGACAAGAAGCACTTAGGATTCCTCAGGGATGGCGTTTCCTTGAACATCCTTGAGGATGAGGAAACCCTAGGGACTTCCGTAGGGCGTCACACGGGAAGGACTCCCCAGGGATTCCATAATGACTCCCTAGGGATTTTGATGGATCCAAAGTAGTCCCTAGGGGTTCCTACATCATATCCCTCCTCCATCCCCAAATCCATCAGGGATGGAGCAAAGCGGAGACATTTTCGCCCAAAGAGTTCCACTTTTGAGAGTTACCCCTTAGGAACCCATAAAAAAATATTTGAGAAAAAAAATACATTTTGCGCCCTGTGGTTTTTGATTTTTTTAAAAGTCAATTTTTGAGCTAGAATGCTCATCTCCGAAGTTGATCTCTGTCTTTTTATGATACAATGTAACGTTCGTTACTGTAGCACCTAGGACCCAGATTTGCAACCTCTCATAAATCTCCATATTTTGAAAAATGAGGGAATATTCAAAGCTTAGCAAATCTGAGTACTGGGTGCTACAGTAACGAACGATACATTGCCAGATTCAGTTTTTAACGTAGATTACGAATGAGCTATTTAGCCGATACGAAATCGGCAGGAAGAAGAAGCCGTGGAGCCAAACAAACATTCAATTGTTCTGGTTTAAAGCAGACGAATTCATCGAACAATTGAATGTTTGTTTGGCTCCACGGCTTCTTCTTCCTGCCGATTTCGTATCGGCTATATAGCTCATTTCATAATTATAATGCTCAGCGGTGGCTTTCTGACTCTTCAGGGTCATTTTTCGATTTTACACCCAAAAGCCCATAAGAAACCCATGTTAAAATGCAAAGACGTTGAGCGAGTGGTTCCCGGGGTCCCATCGGGACGAACGGGGCGGTTTTGGAATGCCCAGAGCATAGGTCATCTCGATCTTTATGAGCGAACCGCCGGTCTGATAATTTTTTTGCCGTGCGGGCCACCCTACCCAATCGTTTCCTCAAGTGACATCCGCACGCAGAAGGCGCGCCGGGCCGGATGAAAACACTTATTGTTACTTATTACGTAACAAACGCCCATCAAAATATATAAAAGGGGACCTCGCGGACGGTCGCCACAGTCGCAACTCATATCGCAAGATGAACTCCTCCGCCGCCGTCCTTGTTGTGTGCCTGTGCCTCGCAGGTCAGGCCATGGCCTTCGAGGTCAGCTTCGGCTCCTGCCCCAAGGAGAGCAACGCAGTGTCGCCATTCTACCCCTTAAATGTAAGTAGTAGGCTATTACTAGTAAATGACCCAGAAGTGCGCAGCTAGTAGAGGCCCCGGGTCGGTGGGTCGGTTGGGTCAGCGCTTACCTCTTCCTTGCCCAAGTAACAGAGATTCGTCTGAAACACGTCAAGTTAAAGTATACTGACGACAGAACCATTTCGTCACGTTGACGTGATTAAAATCGCGATATTGACATGACTGTTGCCGATTTTATGTGACATTGGCCCATGTGGCCCGTATGGCTCCCGTGGGTCGCGCGATCTTTAGCTCGGTCGTTTGGACCAGAATGGGTCAGCGTGGTTCGCTTGACCCAAGCGACCCAAAGGTTGCATTGCACCTGTCACCGCCAGCTGGCGCTGCACTCGGCTGCAGGCGAGGGGCAGGGAGATGCGGGGCGGGAGACGAAATTTTGCTAGGCCGACCCAAACAACCCAGGCGGGTCAGGTGGGTCCAAGCTCCCGCAGACTGGACCCATGTGGCCCATACTGACATGCGTATGGGTCGCATTGGTGGGCGGGAAAATAAGCCAAAATAGCTTGGGTCAAAAGAACCCTCCGATCCGGGGCCTCGAGCAGCTAGGCAACCGAGGAGTGCCCCTCGATTCATTGGCAACCTCTCTTGGTTTTGCTTCCACCAGTATATCGGCAGGTGGTACGAGATCGAGCGCTTCGCCCAGGTCTGGGAGGCTCTGGGCAAGTGCGCCGTCGCTTACTACGGAATAGACAACACAGTGGGCATGAGGGTAACCGTCAATAACACCATGAGGACCATG